TACTATGTGCAATATACTAGCTGGAATTAAGGTGAAGATTTATAGCTTCTAATGAACTGCTTTGTGTTACTATGTGCAATATACTAGCTAGAATTAAGGTGAAGATTTATAGCTTCTAATGGACTGCTTTGTGTTACCATGTGCAATATACTAGCTGGAATTAAGTTGTGATTTATAGCTTCTAATGGACTGCTTTGTGTTACTATGTGCAATATACTAGCTGGAATTAAGGTGAAGATTTATAGCTTCTAATGGACTGCTTTGTGTTACTACGTGCAATATACTAGCTGGAATTAAGGTGAAGATTTATAGTTTCTAATGGACTGCTTTGTGTTACTATGTGCAATATACTAGCTGGAATTAAGGTACCTTGTGTTAGCATGGCTCATTTAATAGCTGGTAATTCATAGTCTTACGCGATCAAACTTTTTTGTGTTAAACTGTGTGTTTTATTAAGTGGGAATAGGTTCAGGATTAGTCTGTGTTAAGCGGACTTATGTTCCTATAAGACATTTAATAGGTGGGAGATGGTTGAGGTTCACTTAGATAACTGATTTGTGTTTTCATGGGACTTTTAGTAGTTGGAAGTAAACTGAAGTGTTGAAAAGTGCTTAGCTGATCTGTGTTTTTATGGAACCTTTGGTAGTTGGTCCTAAACTGAAGTGTTGGTAAGTGCTTAGCTGATCTGCGTTATTATAGAACCTTTGGTAGTAAACTGAAGTGTTAGTAAGTGCTTAGTTGATCTGTGTTTTTATGGAACATTTTGTAGTAAACTGAAGTATTGGTAAGTGCTTAGCTGATCTGTGTTGTTATGGAACATTTGGTAGTAAACTGAAGTGTTGGTAAGTGCTTGGCTGACCTGTGTTATTATGGAACATTTGGTAGTTGGTAGTAAACTGAAGTGTTGGTAAGTATTTAGCTGATATATGTTGTTATGGAACCTTTGGTAGTTGGTAGTAAACGGAAGTGTTGGTAAGTATTTAGCAGATCTGTGTTGTTATGGAACATTTGATAGTAAACTGAAGTGTTGGTAAGTGCTTGGCTGATATATGTTGTTATGGAACCTTTGGTAGTTGGTAGTAAACGGTAGTGTTGGTAAGTATTTAGCAGATCTGTGTTGTTATGGAACCTCATAGTAATTTTTAAAAAATGTCAACAGTATTAGGTTCACTAAAACAAGCATGGGTTTTTATGCTGAAGAGCTAGAAACAGATCTGTTCAGTCTGAGGTTACGTGTTTGGCATTCCGGAATAAGAATATTCACATACATAACTACTTGATTTGAGTATTAAGTGATAATCCCAGGGGTTGCCAACAGGCGTTAACCCCTCGTGTGGAGACCGTTTGCCTCACAGTAGGTACATGGGAGTTTCTTTACCAGTGAACTTCTGGCTGCATACTGTCCTACTGATTACCCATATTTTGCTTTTCCTAGCTAAACTATAAGGCATTTTGCTTTCTAGCGGTTTTATTTCTTCTTAATGTCGATGAAGGTCTTTCATGGCCTTATTGATTTGGAGGAGGTCGATATCCTGACAGTAGAGGTGTGCCGGATTTGATAAAGGGCCTTCTTCTGCCACCCATCTAAGGATCAAGTCAGTCGCAAATATTATGTTAGTGGCATTGTATATTAGTGGTTTGTTGCTTTCAGCAATCCAGGAAAGCTTCCAGTTCAATTCTGGTGCTCCTTATTGGAAGCTTGAATGATCCTCTATCCTTATGTGGTATTTTAAGAGCTTATAAGTTAAAGCAAAGAAAAATGAAACAATAATACGTCAAACACACCATATATGCTGTACACAGTGCCAACGAGGCCTTTCTAAATGTGGTGCGAGAACCATCTGTGGCTATGATGACAAGTGATTGTTTACCCTGGTTTGAAGATAGGTGTATACAGACCTTTTCTACTTCACTCTCTACCCAATCTCTACATTTTCTTTCCATGCCTATTTTCACAGATCTCGGTTGTGCCAGATGTGTCAATGATGGTATTAGAACACCTTTCCAGCCAGGACTGTCTCCAGAAGCGTCATTTAGGCAATCTCCTCTTGGTTGGTATCTGCAGACTTATTGTGGAGCTAAAACATGCAAATTTAAATGGTTAGTGGCTCGGTTGTGGAAAGTATGTTCTTTATACTGCAATGCTCTAGTAAAGGATCTTGCTTATAAGTGCTGCTGGTGTTCTGTGATGTTGCTGAGGCTTATGAGGTGTAATAGGGCCTTGATGAAGGTAGCTGAACTACATCCAGTGATCAGTATTTTTTCAGTCTTAACTAGCTGTGTAACACTAATATTGATAATCCAAGATGGAGCAGATAAGCAGGTGACGTTCTTTAGCTCAATGTCTGCTCCAACTTTAAGTTCGGGAATAGTTTTGGTAGCTGTGGTTATCATGGTGTAAACGTGGCTCATGAAGTTGATTTATCTGTCAAAGATTATGCACAGGTTTTTCTGACTGAATCATAATGGTCAGAAAGTTCTTGGTCTATTCTGAAACTTTCTAAGTATGGAAACCTCGAAAAATCATGGGCTAGAAGATTCACTATAGTATTAACTAGAGGCTTTCTCCGCTTCCACAATTTATTTGTTGCTTACATTACCTCTGTTTGGTTGAAAACGTTGCTTTTTAACCAAGTGGTGCTTCATAGGTTCACTCAGCAGACTTATTATTCAAACTTTGATTCTCTTGTTACGGTATCTCATATTCACACCTAAGTGTCGTCGAGGTACTTGGTGTAATAAGTTAACGTCCGTGTAATTGTGACTTATGAACTGTACTCTCCTGTGAATGCAAGATTCGTATAAGTTAACGTATGAGTCACTGTGACTTATGAGCTCTATGCTCCTGTGGATGCAAGATTCGTATAAGTTAACGTATGAGTCACTGTAACTTATGAACTCTATGCTCCTGTGGATGCAAGATTCGTATAAGTTAACGTATGAGTCACTGTGACTTATGAACTCTATGCTGTATACTGACCATCCCTTCATAATTTGTCACAAATGTATTCATCCAGTAAGATAAGAAATGGCGAAGACTGTCTTACCAATATCTTCAGCAATGTCTGGACGATAGCATCTCACTGGCAAAATCTCCTACATGGATTGCTCACTCTTGAACTCTGCCTAACTACACTAACGTTTCTCTGTCTTCTTCCGCTATTGTTGTAGTGCTGAATAATACTTTCACACAGACAGAAGACTGCAAATCATTAAGACTTTGAACGATTCAGTTGGCAAGAATGCGTTGAAAGGTTAAGAGACGAATTGAAGATACTAAACCAGATGTAGAACATAAAACGCATATTTTTTATTACACATATCATATTACGTGGCAAAAAGTTGAATAAAATGATAGAAAAGCTAATTCAAATAATAATAATAAATAAATAATAGGTGTTAAAAATAAAGTAGTAGTAGATAAATAATATTGCGTTATTAATATTTGCCCCAAAAATCCGTTTTGTAAATTACTTAAGTAAAAATGATAATATTAATTACAATTCACTTTCTTAATAAAATAAATAAATAATGTGTTATTACTCCTTACCCTAAGAATCTGATTTATAAATGACTTAAACAAAATTGAAAATAGTTACAATTCACTTACTTAGTCTATCTCACACCATAACAGCCGTTGTTCATGAAATTTAGTGATATAAATAGTATCTACACCACCACCATATACGTCATAACCCAGCAGCCTGATGAGCCCAGGTGTTTGGCGAAAGGCCTCATCGGCACCGGGTGTGGCAGTTGTAGTAGATTGACGTATTATATTATTCTTTAGTTTCACTCATAAGTTCTTTGAAATACTATATATTGTCGTATCAAGTATTTAAAGGGATAAATCGCTTTATTTTTTTTAACATAGGGTGATCATAACTCCCCAATTTACTAATGAGAAATGTTGTCTACCAGTTGAAGAATATCTCCAAACTACCTCTACATTTCATTTCTCATATTTATTATGAAGTCTGCTGCTCAGGTCATGTGACGACAAAGATGGAGTCCGAATAGTTATGATCTTGAATATGGCATAGAACATTTTTCTGTTCTGTTCCTTTTTTTTAAAGAAGAAAAACAAATACTTTCAGAGAGGTGCAACAGTCGCTAATAGGGCAGGCTTCTCCAGTTCTGTCTGACCTTGTATTTGCAATTGTTGTATGTGAAAATTCTGTGTATAATAATACCTAGCGTTTGTGGTAAGTACAGATTTTGGGCCTCCCAGAAGCACAGCGGTATATCTGCGGACTTACAACGCTAGAATCCAGGTTTCGATACCCGTGCTGGGCAGAGCACAGATAGCCCATTGTGTAGCTTTGGGCTTAATTACAAACAAACAAAACAAATTTGGGTTTATGTTACAGCATTTCTCAAACTTTTAATAAATATG